CTTTATTTTATTCTGTGCAAATTCATGGAGGATAACACTGAAGATAATTAAATTTTATTTCACTTGTTGAGTAGGTGTTTTATACAACCCTAAAAACCTTGCTATTGAAAAAATAAAACTTGTTTATTTGGTATGGCTGGATTCGGTTTTCTATAAGCTTTTCAACGAGCCCCCTCATGCCCTATGTTTCCATTTGAAAAAAAAAGTGGGGGTAACTGGGGGTTGAAGAAAAATAAATTATTATATAACCGAAAGATGGGAAAAAATCAAAATCAGTTAACGTGTTTCGGCGTTTTAAAAAAAATTAATTCATTCAAAAGATATGAATTTTATTCCGTACTTTTGGCCATCCCTGTATATAAAAAAATATAATTTGCAAATTTTGTAGAATTCTTTTCGATATTTCAAAGTGCTCCCCTATTTTAATTTTTATTTTCACAAATTTCATTTGAATGTAATGCATATGAGGCTAGAAATCACCTAAAATTAGTACGTATGCTATGTTTCCTTATGACTGCTTTAATTTTTACTATCCATCATACATACTACTTTATACTAACTACATATAGTAATATTTTCAATGTTGCAATTGAAATGTTCTTTAATAAAAATTGATTCAATTAATTTGATTAAAGGTTATCAGATTGTGTTCATGTAAAACTCTTTTGGATAGGATGCACTTAATTGAAGGTGTCTGAAAATTCCACTTCAATACAGGGTGTTTCCTAAGTAATTTAAAATGATTAAGGTTATAAATTTTTATCACGACATTAAAATTAGAAATTGATTGTTACTCGCTTAGGGTTGCCAGATGTGCTCGAAAAAAAAAACCGGACAGCATTCCAAAAAAAAAACAAATTAAATAAATAATTCTTTTATTCCACAATGAAAAACAAACAAACAAAACAATATTTATATCTAAGTAAAAAAAATGTCAATAACGTTAAAATCTTTTGAATTTTTTAATATATTTTGCATTAGATGCCGCTGCTTTTAACAACTCTCTATTACCTGATATGTTATTTTTGAATTCAGTGCAAGTGCTAATTATGTTAAAGAAAACGCAAAGCTCACATTTTACGCTTTCTACGGAGACGATTTTTTTCGTTTGTCCAAACATTTCCCATAACGCTAAATATCCTTTCTACAAAGGCTTTGGATATGGGAATGCTGCAAACATATTGCACTAGCTTCAACAAATTTGGTGCTACCTCTTTCTTGAAAAAGGTACACCACATATCTACCGTTTTTCCTTCAAGTACGGGAAACACAGTTTGAAGTGCAGCCAGTTCTTCATATAGATTTTCGGGAGGATGCTCTTGTTTCCACGGAGAAATTAACCACAAATCCAATAATTGATCCAGGGTGGGCAATATTCCCGATTCCAAATCTAAACAACTGAAAGTTTTAAAATGGTTATTCTCAAAGCGATACCATTTTTCTATGTAAACCAGAGCTCTTTGGTAAACATCTAGAGCATTCTTCTCAAATTGTTTAAAATGATATTCTGAAAGATATCCTTTCTTCAAGGCCATGTGTATTTTTATGCCAAAATATTGGTCGCTTAATTTTTTTAAAAGGGTGTTCCTGAATTTAATCATAATATTATGCAGGTTATACGCTGTTGTGGTATGTTTTTCCAGCAAAAGCAAAATTTCTTGGAAAGACGCCATAAAATTATGAGTAAAATACAAATATAGTTCACTATAAGTAGGATTGGTCTCACTTGTAATTTCATTTTCCTGATTGGATAAGATAGCCCAAAGTGCTGCAGGACAATTTTCGGGGCCTTGTTCTAAGAAATACCGTTTCAACGGTTCCCACGAAGAGAGTACTCTATCAAGTGTCTTAAATAAACTTAACCATCTTGTAGGAACGTGTTGAATAACATCCCTGTATTCACTTTCAAAAAAGTCAAAGCACTCCTTCAACTTTTCCTTTCTCTTTGCAGAATTCGAAAATTCTGGAAAAATTTTCATAACGATATTTTCTACATCAATAGGCATTACTTTAAGAGCATTCTTAGCGCAATTATGGAAAATGTGGTCATTACAGTGAGCCGTTATTATGTCCTTATTTTCTTCTGACTGTAATTTTTGAAAAACGGAATTATTGACCATAGTTAACAGACACGTTATCCGCTCCAAATGCTGTTACTCTTCTCCATGGCAGCTGTGCTTTGTCCAAGACCTTGCATAAATGTTCCTTAATAGATCGAGAATCTTCAAAGGAGTCTTCGTAGAAATCCAAAACTTTATGGCAAATACCGCTTTCTGGTAAAAAATACTGAATAGCAACTGGAAACAATTTCTTATTTCCTTTGTTAGACGCGTCGGTAGACACAGAAAACAGAACTTCATTTTTCAAATCCTTCTGCACAAGTTGCATTGAATACGGAAACAAAACTTGTAGCAAAGCTGTACATTTAGTGCGTCCTCCTGTCATTTGCTTTACAATCTCTGAATCCGTAATTACTTGCTTCATTACTTTTAATGAACAATCTTGTGCAACATATGAAATACGGTGTTTGAGACTATGATAAACCTGGGTTAATTCGGCAACACTAACTTTTTCACTTTGCAAACTACCTTTTGGTGAAAAAAAAAGTGCATGCGCTGAGACATGGCTGCTGCACTTTCAAACTCCTTATGCTTCTTTGATGCAGCATGTTGTGTCACCACTTTCAAGCCATCATAAGCGACAGTGAATAAATGTTTACACAATTTGCAGTAAGCTTTTGTATCATCTTCGTTATACTTATTTATCCACGAAAATTGCGTTTCCCAGTCTATATTGTAATGACACATTCTTCGAATTTTTTTAGGCGCACTTGCTTTGCTAGTAGAGGCGTTTTCCATTTTTATTAATAAAGTTCTTAACTTCTTAACGTTCAAAACAATAATAAAATAAACCAAATAAAATATTCAAATGTACCGGGTGGCTAACAAGTGTACACTGTAAACTGTAACACTTGCATATAGGTAGTGGATTTTGAGATAAGCTATGAGTCATACCAATGCAGTACACAAGTTTACGGAATTATCAAGCGAGACAGACTTTTTCAGTTTTCACTCTACGAATCCAGTGCATTGTTGCCTGTTAGATTTACGCAACAAGTTCAGCGGGGAAATAAATTCGTTTTCCGCGCGCTGTTGCCGCTGTTACCGTTTTTAGGCAAACATTTTTTCCCAAATTGCAGGGTATTTTATGAATTCAACAAAAAACTGGACATTTGCTTGTCCAGTTTACCAAACTTTTTTCAACCGGACAGGCATCAAAAAAACCGAACTGTCCGGTCGAAAACCGGACATCTGGCAACCCTATACTTGCTTCATCCTTATGGAATGATTCATATTATGTGGGAAAAAATGTATGCCCGTTATTTTCTTCATTTTTTCTAATCTCTCTTTCGTGGCTCTTTTGAGGCTTAGTTAAGAGTTAAATTAAGTTAAGTTTATTTATAACTAAAAATTGGAATTGTTCAGATTTTGCAGTTAAATTTCAATAGAAGACCTGATTCTAACAAAAATAATTTATATAAACATACATAGGTTGTAGAACTCTTCATTTTTGAGTCTGGAAATTAATAAATATATACAGTAGAATCTCTATAATCCGGCACTTCACTACACCGGCACGTCCAGTAATCCGGCATTATTTTTTCCGCGTTTCTTTCCTATCATTGAAGAATACAGTTTATACAGTTATAGTTTAGTTGAAAGATTATTTTACAGAAACACAAAAACATTACAATATACATACATATGCATACACAACTGTAATATATATGTATCTATGTATCAATCTCTTTGTTAATAAACAATTAAAAGTAACTTTTTTTTTAATTTAATACTATTTACATATACATTTTCCATTAATCCGAATTTTCCAGTACTCCGGCACTCTTAGGTTTTTAATGGTGCCGGATTAGTGAGATTGTACTGTATATTCTATTTGGGGCACTATTATTAAGAACTTTAAGGGTGGAAGTACTCATACATTGCAATATGCAGACAGTCATTAAAAGTAGAGAAGTCATAATAACTTATGTTGTCTACTTATATATGTATATTTATTTTTTCTTAAAGTGTACTGAGAAATCAAGAATTTAAATATTTTACAATACTTAGGAAATACCCTGTATTTAGAGGGATAACTTTATCCATGTAATATGAGAAAAAGATATGAAAACCATCTTCAATCTTCCAAATGTGCGACCAGAACTTCTAGATTCCAGACAATTTGTATTGCTAAAACCTTCTTTTTGTAGATGATAATACAATTCCTACAATAAATTTAATAGTAAAAGCAGATGTAGATGGAACTTTGGAAGCCTTATTGGATACTTTGGATACATATGAGTCTACAGAATGTAAAATGGATTTGGTTCATTATGGAGTAGGCTCAATTATACCAACTGATGTAGAATTAGCAGAAACTTTTAATGCCATAATTTATGCCTTTAATGTGGATGTACCACCAAATTTAAAAAAGACTGCCGAAGAGTTAAATGTAGTTATTAAACATTTCAATGTCATCTATAAATTAATAGATGATATCAAGGAGGAGATTAATGTTACTTTACCACCGAAAGATGTTGAAGAGACTTTAGGTGAAGCTGTTGTGTTACAGCAGTTCGAAATAACACAGGGTAGAAAAAAAAATCCTGTTGCTGGATGCAGATGTGTTAAAGGCTCTTTGAAACGAACAGCAATGTATAAAATAATTAGAAATGGGGAAGTGATACATACAGGTATTGAACTTATTTTAACATTTTTAGGAATAACGCTTCACTATATTCATGTTTGTAAAAGAGTAAAATATATTTCTAGAATTACAATTAAGATTAAGCCTAACTAGAGCGTGGACAGCAGAAATGTGTACACAGAAAATTTTTCACTTTTCAAAGCTTTTTTCAGCTTTTAAGATTTTCAATTTGAAAAATTAATCCACAAAAATATTAATCTGATTCATCAGTGTACTCTTAAAGAATCAGAAAATTATTTACTGACAAATGATTGCTCCTTTTTTTCTTACAATTGAATTTTTTACTTCAAATCACACAAAAATTAATGTTTTTAAATTCCCCTATGTATTTCTTTAGCCATACTCATAGATTAAGAAAAATTTTTATGTTTTCTTTCTTAATTCAAATTTGCGCAGTTACATTGCATGTTGTTGCAGAGCGCCTCAAAATCTACATGCCTTGTCAAAATGGCTTCAGGCTCCAGCATCGCGATTATGAATGAATAAATTAGAGATGGGAAAATTCCCAAACTATGAAAATGCCTGGAAAGTTGCCATTGAAAATTCCGGAAATGTTCCAAAAATTTCAAAAATTTTTTTTTGGATTTGGTATTGTGTTCTACATACCATCAGCTTTCCAAAAAGACCAAATACTTATATACATTTTTATTTATATTGGTATAAATATTGGAAAAATATAAATTATGTATTAATCCGTTAGAAAAAATTACATGCTGAGGGTTACAGTGCGTAAACACTATACAGTATACAATATTTATCTTTATTTTTTAACAAACAAATAGTAAATACATTAAATAATTATACTAGTTTTAAAATGTAATTGTACTTTGGTTCAACTATCAAAATTCATATTAAATTTGAAAAGGAGGCAATTTATGAGTCTTGTATTGCTCTCTATTATGTAGATTGTAGACTTAACAAAGATTAAAATAAGTAAGTGTAAGTGTTTTCTAACTTATTTGGATAATATGGTCTTCTGGTATTCCGAATTAACCGAAAATCTGAAATTAACCAACGATTTTTTGTGTATGTTCATAGAAGTTAGAAGTAAAATTGGCTCCAAGTTTACAAATTGTTAGAAATATTCCCAGAAAATTTCCGACGGAAATTTTTTCAGAAACTTTCCAGGGAAAATTTCTCAAGCTTCAATTATTTCTTCCCAAAAAATTTCCGTTTTGGAAATTTTCCGGGACGGAAAATTTCCCATTGCCCATCTCTAGAATAAATATATTTTTTGAACACTTAAAGACATAGTTAATCCTTAAATCAGTACCTCAGAGCTAAACTGTATCAACTCCCATTTAGCAGGAGAGCTGTTTATAAAATTTAATATCAATTAATGGTACATAGTGCTTTTATTGTTTTTTGTCAGATGGTTAAAAGAAATTAGTTGACTATATTTACATACTAGTTAGTTGTAACAGGTTTGATCAACACTAGGAAACCTCGACCAGCACTTGTTCTCAACTAGGCTCTGTAGGGCTGTTCTCATTAGTTCTAAAGCCGATATTGCAAAAGTCTCGCCTTGGCTACCAGTTATAATTACTGCATCACCATTAGATATACAGGGTGTTAAAAAAAGAGTGTAAAATATTTCAGGAGGTAATAGTATGAACCAAAATAAGCAGAAAAGTCTTAATAAACATGGGTCNGGCTTATCGATAACGTATCGGCCAACATTAGCGTGTTCCATTGCTTCACCTATTAGGGTAAGTTAGGGATTTACAGAGTCGGCTTCAAAATTTGCAATAACTTTAAACTCAGTTATCTCGGTTATTAAAACACATTTATTAGAACAATTTTTTGTAAAATCATTTATTTTAATGCCTACTGTCATCAGTTAAAATTAATACCCCACTTTGAAAATCACTCTGTATAATAAGGTGTTTTCTTTTCTCAAATCAAATGCTCTTTATACATATTTAAATTGAAAATAAACACTTCATTTATATCTCATAATGCAGTAACTAAGAAAATTTAAAATTTTCTAAAAAAAAAAGAAACGTACTATTTGTGTCTATCAACTGATTATACAGGGATGGCCAAAAGTACGGAATAAAATTCATACCTTTTGAATGAGTTAATTTTTTTTTAAAACGCCGAAACAACTGATTTTGATTTTTTCCCATCTTTCGGTTATATAATAATTAATTTTTCTTCAACCCCCAGCTGCCCCTACTTTTTTCTTTTCAAATGGAAACATAAGGCTTGAGGGGGCTCGTTGAAAAGCTTATAGAAAACTGAATCCAGCCATACCAAATAAACAAGTTTTATTTTTTCAATAGCAAAGTTTTTAGGGTTGTATAAAACACCTACTTAACAAATGAAATAAAATTTAATTATCTTCAGTGTCTTATTATTATATGTAGTATTATCTCCATGAATTTGCACAGAATAAAATAAAAAATTTGAACTGTACCTATCACTGCTAATGCAAAAAAGATATATTTTTTATGTTGCTTTTTTTTGGCACCTCTTACTTGCCAGGCTTTCTGGTTAATTTTTCGCTTTAGTTGTAAATTAGAGTTTGAAACGTTACTATTGTGTCAAAATCAATTTATTTACTGAATTGCAATGGTATTGTCGGAAAGGCAACGCATCGAAATCTTGATATTGCTTGGATGTGGAGACAAAATAAGAAGTCAGGCTGAAGTGCGCGATTTATTTAATGCGAAATATCCCGAAAACCAAATCTCGCAAGGGACAGTTAGTAAAATATTTCACAAATTTGAGGA